TTTTTTTTTTTTTTTTTTTTTTTAAAAGCCAGGCCTGTTTTGGGTTATTGTCTCCCCCTAAAGCCAGACATAGATCGCCTGGCCTTGCCTCCATTTTAATTGCAGGCTGAAATGGGGGAAGTGACCCTCTTTTTTTTTTTTAAGAAAAAACCCACAAACATTCAAAACCCAACAAACAGAAAAAAAAACCTTGAAAAAATAATGCTGTTCCTTGGGGGGGGGGAAATATATAGATGATTTTTCATAAGGCTGTAACAAGTGCAAAAGTGGCTGGAAATGTTTTCTGTCATGCTGGGAAACTAGTGCGGTATCCTCCCCCCTCCCCAGAAGAAAGTGTTTGTAAAATTTGGCTGAGGGGAGAAGGAGAGGTGCTGGGAAAAGAAGGGGTTGTGCTACTGGATTGCCTTTGTGTCTCTGTAAATAGACATGTCAGTTCCCAAAGTAATACAAGTAGTGTCTGATAACTCAATCCCAGATGACAAATAGAGAATGGAGCAGATTTTCAGGACTGTAATAGTGGGAGGATTTCTCTTTTGAAACGGAGGGAAAAAAAAAATGTTGGTACCTCCTGAGGAGGTTCTTCACCGGTGCGTTATTGTGAAGCTGAGCGTTTGGATGAAATCCGGAGATATAAATTGATATTTATTTATTTTTACACCTGACAGGGGAAAGATAAACAAAGGAGAGTTTAACAGCTCTTTAATGAATTCCTCATGCTTTTTATTTTGCAATCTCAATGATTCATTTGGCAAGCCTTACAGGACCGGATTATTATCAGCATTGTTTAAAGCCATGCTAATTAGGAGATGTGTTTAGCAAACAGTGGTATTGTAGACACCTGTACCAAAGTTCTTGCATGCATTTTAATTGCATCACTGGTATCATTTTTAGCATTTAGTCACTGTAATATAGATCTAGGTCTCAGTTCTCGAACTTGATCAAGTATTTATTACAAGTGTGGATTCTCTGTGCACGTAGAGCAGCCCTGCTACTAATGCATTAAATGTATTTTCTCAAAAAAGAGAGGAAGTATTTTTTTTTAATTATTTTTTGTCTGTGGAGTTCAAGAGGAAAACCTATGTTATCCAAGAAGAGTGAGAAAAACGTAATTTTGAGGAAGCAGCTTGCTGTGGCTCTTCCACTTTTATCGATACCTTGCTTGAACATTTTATGGTTTTATAACATCTTTTAAATGGAAATAAAATTTAACTTTCCCCTTCTAAATTCCGCCCTGCTTCTCTCACTGTTTATCAAGTTTTATATTTTGAAATCCTCAGTGATGGAAAGAAAAAAAAAAAAAAGAAAAAAAAAAAAAAAAAAGGGTGGAGTGTATTATTAGTCACAATATTTTCAACATGTGGTGAGGAATTATCGCTCTAAGGTGCTTTTTGGGAACTGACAAGAAATGGGGAGAGGAGCTTGCCCTGTGGGCTGGAGGGAGAGCTACAAAGCAGTATTTAGGGGAGCTCCCAAACATACGTTCCTGAAAAATATTATGTGGTCTGATAGGCTGGTGGGATAACTGTAACTGAAATAGAAAACTAGTCTTTTGTTTTTGATGCAGCCTGTCCAGGAGGGGGAAACTCACTCACAGCTAAACTTCTCTCGCAGTTATTTTCATAGACTGTACGTTAAATTTGGTGTAATTGAATCAATTTTAGTGCAGTACCAAAAAATGGGGTATTCTAACGTTAGATGTTTATCCATATACTTTAAATGCTGCTTCGTTCTGGAGTGTGTAGGATTGAGCCTTTGAAAACATGACCTGTACACGGGGTTCTTGGAGACTGAAGAAAATGGGCCGCTTTTTCCCCGTGGTCTTTATTTTCTGGGACAGTTGTACAACAGTGGATATGTTCTTTGCAAGAGGATTTTTTTTTTTTTTTTTAAATAACTGGAAGTGCTTAGAGGAAAACCAGTTTAGCAGCCCCCCTCTCCCCAGCAGTCCTCTGTCAAAAGGAAAAGTGCCTCATGTTGGAAAGATCTGTTATTTGCTGTTCATATGACTGTTTTTCCTCCGGTAACGAGTTGTGTTGCTGTGAGGTTGAGCGTATTCTTTTTGTCTTTGCTATCCACTTGTGTGGATTTTTTTTTTCAGATATGTGTTTTTGAAGTTTCTAAGCAAAGTTTCCTGTCTTCCCAGCAGCACAGCAGCAGGCTAACACCCAATCCAAACTGCTGTTGCTTGCTTTCAGAGCAGAATTATTTCATAAACAGCTCAACCTTTCCCAGGACTTTTTTCCCTTCGTGTTCTTGCCGGTTTTACTGGCTGCTCCAGAGCACTCTGTACCGCTCTCTAGACTCCTCCTAAATTGGTAAAAAGCGTTCAGAGGGGTTTTCCTTGCTCCTGTGTGCTTAGTTTAATGGGCAAACAAAAGGGCAAAGAGAGGGCTTAGTTTAAGTCTTTGAAGATCTACCTGCAGTTGTAATGGTTATCCCACATGTCCGTTATAATTCCCAGGAGCCATTCCTGGCTGTGAGCGTTACCCTAGAAAATTCTGACACTTTGCACAAAAAGATTAATACCATGTTTATATTTTGCATCTGGCTTGTGACTGGCCTGAATATTTTTTAAGTGGGTAGCTTACCTGTGTTTTATGTGTGTGATATTTGAAACTCGAAATGTATTAATAGTGAAAGCAAGCGTGCTGTGGGGTTGTCTGTAGATAGCAGGGGTCATGTTAGGCGAGAGTACAAGGACCTACCACGTCTGTGAGATAGAGGGAGGCATTTGGTCTGTGTGAAGTACTGCGATACTACTCCTTAACTAAGGATCTCTGTGAGCGTTTTAATGGTGTTTTGGTCAAGTACAAAGACAGTGTTAAAATTTGTTGCTTCAAAACTTCAACTTTATTCCTTCTTGAGGACTTTTTGTTTCGCTAGGCGATGTGTTTGTGTTACAGCCCCTTTAAATACAACTTTCAGTAGCTGGTTTTCTCAATTCCCTCTAGATTTTTAGTCCTTTAGGCAGGAGGAGAAATAAAAGTGCGTATCGCTTGGTGCGGGACTTCTTTCCCTTGAGATGTGAGAGGAGAGAATCTCGACTGCCCTGAACAGTTCAGTAGTTTCCTGGTTCGTGCTGCCTGGGTGGTTTGGGTGCACAAGGATCTCCAGTTTGGAGGGATAGCTGCCTGGGATTCGGTTCTCATCCTCTAGCTGTTGACTGAACGTGCTTGAGTCGTAACTGCTTTTGATCAGCCTTCCCCTTCTGTGCAACAGCGGTGCCGGGGTTTACTCAGCTCTTCCAAAAGATTTCCTGTTACACTGTTGAAAAATCATAGTTGTGCTAGAAACACTTACTCTTCCTAAATGCAAACTAGTGTGAAGTCCTCGCTGAATTTCCAATGAGGTATGGTGGAGTTCAGAGGCTCGTGGGTGGGGTTTTCTGTCCCTTACCAAGTTAGCTGTGGTGCAGTTATTTTCTGAGCAGTTACTGTAACTTTCTTTCATACCCATATATTTAAGAAACATCAGACTGCCGTTCGAAATGCTGGTTTTGAATAGCTTCCGAGTGCTTCGCGGGCAGGCTGAGATCCTTGACGGTAATTCTAATTAGATGGAAATGTGTTCCACTTTGCGGTGTTCTGTTGCGCGCAGGTAAGGATGTACGAGCGTGTGGAACCAGCTGCGGAGAGGAACAGTAGCTTTGCTGAAGTGTAATGGGTAGATGCCAAGTTATAGAGCTGAAACTCACCTTTTTGCCTCACGTTTTGGGGGATGCGGCTTTTATTGCAGCCCGTACAGCGATGCTGCCTTTTGTCCTGTTACTTGGCTTGTGTACTCACTCAGGAAGAAAAACGTTTGCCAACGTTGGAAGCTGTTTAGCGTTCGCTTTATAGTAAAACTGAGTTGGGGTCTCCTGTAATGGAGCGAGGCATCAGAAATATTCTACAAACACAGCTATTAGCTTGTGCGTGGATTAAAACAAACTTAGTAACAAGAATGTCAGAGTGTGTGCCAGGAATTTAGCTGCTTAAGAACCCTACTTAGAGAAGTGAGTAGGGTTTTACATATTAAGGAATATGTTTATACCTGTGTATACTTAAATACCTAGTTATCTTTCCTAATAATTTCCTTGGCTTGTGTTGAACAAACCGCTTATTCCATCCAAGCGAGTTTGCTTCCTGGTATTTCTCACCTTGTGAAGCACAACTCTGCAGAAAGAGTGGATATTTCAGGCAGTTACTCCCTTTTGACAAAGGGGTTAAACAAAATTTGCACCTTTTGCACTTACATACCATTAAAGGAAATACTTTTCTGACTAGTGCTCAAATCATGCTCTGAAACAGAAGAACTGATGGTCTGTACTAGCCATTAGGTGCTTAAAATACCCAAACGGACTAGTTTAAGTACTGATAAACGAAGTAGTCAGGATGCAGTACTCCTAAAAGTCCTGCCTCTACAGTAGTGGAGAATGAGGTGGTGGCTAAATATAAAACTAGCTTATTGACTTCCTTCTTATTACCACTGCATCCTTCTTGGCTTCACTCCACTTTTCCCTTTTTTTTTTTTTTTTTTTTTAAATCATAGTTGATCAAATCTGGATTATGAGATTTATACAAAAAAGTAAAAAGGAATACAAGGCACTAAGTGCTTGTACTGTGAATTACACAAACATAATTAGATTGTTTGCAGAGCACCTTGTATGTTATCTTTAGTTTTGCACTGGTTGATTTTTTTAACTCTTAGATTATTCCCGATTCCTTACATGTCTTTTCTGTCTCTTAGGTGTTCTTTCCCTCGGTTCCTCCCTGCACTAAACTTCTCTTTAAAAATTACCTCATGGTTCTTCCTCCTTCTTCAGCTCCCTCCCTTTTTACATACTGAGTTTGGGAACTTTAGCAAAGATCCCCTAGTTAAAAAGCCAAAAACCAGTGAGAAAGTTTTGGGGGAACCGTTCTTCAGGGCAATTCCCAGTGAGATATGCTTGCTTTAATCCTTTTTTTTTTTTTTTTTTTTTTTTTTTTTTAAAGGTGCTTTTTATGTCGGTTTTTGGCTAACAGATGCACAGGGGCAAAGTCTTTTGCTTAGATTTCTTTTGTGACTTTTTTTTTTTTTTTAAGTGGAAGCTTAAGGTCTTGTAGGTTTTAATGTCACTTGGACAGGTAAGTGTCATACTAGCCACAGGCATTTGGACTTTTGTAGGTGTTTTTTTAATCTTCACTGCTAGAGCAGCAGATATACCTGTAGCTAAATTCTTATATTTTTTGATATCACCAGACTTGTCAAGGCTGCTACCCTGTAAGGTACTTGCTTTTTCAGTGCTGGCTAGCTCTCACGTGTTCTGGCTGCGTTCTGCAAGGTCTGTGGCATGGGTAGGTTTGGATCAGTTCCTCTCTTGATGCGACCAGATGAGAGAAAGAGGGAACAGAGATCAAACATAGGGGAATGATATGAGCAACCGTTGCTGTACCATGATAGAGCGACAGACACCTGGACGGAGTTGGAAGTTATGGGGAAATGAATAAGGGAATGCAGAGGAAATGCAAAGTGCAGTGGAAATACTACTGCGAGTGAGCATTTTGAACTAAAGCGTGCACCCGGTGCCCTGTTGGAAAGGTGCATCCTGTTGTATTAGCAACTTGTTACCAGTTGGAATATTCTGTTTCAGGCTGCAGAGCTTTTACAGGCATGAACAATAAAACTTTTACCTGCTGTTAGGTATTTGCATCTTTTTCTGTACCTTTGTGGGTTTTCTTTTTTGAAAATGTTTAAATTCTTGCAAGAGGAGCAAACTGCTTTACTTAGTAGTACCTTTGTGCGTGCTGCTCTTGAACTTGGGGGTGACACTGGCTTTTGAAGGCCGTGACTCAGTCAGGTTGGGTGGAAATAGAACTCAAATATCTTGCTTTTGTATAATGTGGATACATAATTTTTCTGTAACCTTTGGTTTGAGGAGAATCACTGTAACTCTTTAAATTTAGATTAATGCTAACCCCATGTCAAGTGTGCGGATGGCAGGTGTCACAGAAACATTAACTGAAACTTTGTGATGTTTACTGCAACAAACAATGTTGTTAAAATTGTTGGAAATCCTCATATAAAGCACTGGTTTTTACAGTGATTTCTTCAAAACATTTCTGTCTGGAAGCGCAGTCAGAAATTGTTAATAGTCTTAAAATTAGTATGTTAAACTCTTTCTTTAACTTAACACAAGGACTAAAGGATTTTTCCTATCTGTCAGAACACATCAGAATATATTTCCTATATATCAGAATATTTCTCGTTCAGAATGGGAAACTGGGTTGTAAATATGCAGCTGTTTTAACTGTTGCTTGTATTTATTTGACACTGAAGGTTTTTGTATTAAGTTCAAGTTTAGATTTTAATTTTTGCCTCCTGTTCTTTTCATTCCCTAATACAGGGCATCTGATGAACCTTTTGGAGCTTGTTCCCGGAGACCGTTCTCCTCTATTCATTAAATCATGCACTATCCAGCTGTGAAACATTGTGACATTTATTTTTGCTAACAGGAAACATTTTCAGATATTGGTAAGTTCTCAGCATTTAAGGATATTTTTGTAATGTGGTAAGGGAAAGAGTAGCTGCATATACCATTGTCACGAGGACTTACAGTTCTTTATAAAATTTGACTTAACATTGATAACAAAGGCTTGCTTAGAAATCTTACCCAACTGCAAAAGTTGAAGAAATACCTCTGGCTATTCTTCTGCTCTTACCTTGTGGTAGGGCTGCCTCCATTAATCATGGTCACTGGGTTCTCTTCTGTTGGATTAGAAGAGGAAAACAGGTGCAGAGCTCAAAGCAAGAAGGAAAAATGCAGAGCAGTGCAAAATAGGGTAGGTCTCAGCTTTACAGTTCTTACCAGATTGTTCTGGCTCGTTTTGTGACTCTGGGACGGAGGCGTAAATGAGAGTCTTAACAGTAACAGTCCTAAGCCTGAGCGAAAATACGTATTACTTTTACACTTCGCTAACAAAGTAATTGCCCATGTGTCTGTGTTGGTCTGGCTCCCTCACTCCCCCATTTTATTTTATTTTTTTTAACTGTCTAACTAACAGGACTGAAAAGAGCTAGCCAAAACAATTGCTATGGAGAAGCAATCAGAATTAGAGAAAGGCAAGACTTGGCAGTCTGAAATAGAAATTGAGAACAAAGTCAATGGTATTTGCCTCAGTTGGGTTATATTTGTTTGCAAGATTTTCACAGTTCTGCTTGTTGCCATAAGAATGCTTGGATTTTCCTTATTACTTCATTTGTTTATTAGATATGTTGTTTCAGCATTTATAATGGTGAGCATTATTTTGTTTTGGAAAAGCTTTCTTAATTTCTATCTTCTGATGTTTTCTTTCCCAATCTCCCTGCAGAAGGTCAGTCTTGAAATCAGCAGTATTGATTTATAGCTCATTTTCATTAAGAGAGCTAATCTGTATGATGTCCGAAATACAGAGATCAGAAATATATGGCAAATACTTTGCTGTAATGATATATAAACAGTATAAAGTTTTGAATAACTTATAGTCTGAAGTTTTTAGTTGAAGTTAAATGTTGGAAATGTAGTGAATATGTTATTCTGAAGAAAATAAAGTCATTTGTTTAAGGAAAAACAGGTGTACAAGTGGATAGTTACAGTCGATGTGTCCTCACAGACAAAAAACCACTGTGTAGGTGAACTATTCCTTATACTTTGTAATCATAAATACTGATGTTTTATCTGAGAAGTCTGTCTGTGAATGTGCCTTACTATACCTAAATATCTCTATTTTACAGAGAATCTTCAAAATCTTGGAATTGTTTAGTCTCCTAACCTCATATGGCATCAGCCAGTAGAAACTGGCTGTTAAACATTTCAAGAGGAAATTCTCATGAATATTTTTTTTTTTTTTTTTTTTTCAGGAATTGTATTGGTAGCTTTTTAACCTCAGTATTTGATAGGTCAGATAAGGTGAATTAGTGCCCTTTGGGCCAGAAATGTCTCTTTAAAGAGTCATTAAAGTGAGAATGTTTTGAAAAGCTACCAAACAGGAAACACTGTTGTTTCAAGGATCTGTTTGAAGTTTTAGTATCTAAAATTAGACTTTTTTTTTTTTTTCCCCATACTTTAAGAAGTAACTCTTGCTTATATTATTGTGAAAAAATGTAACCAGGCTTTAATTACCTGTAGTGTATCGATATGCTTTGAGTTAACATTTGTGGGGCTGGTTAAGTCATAAATAAGGGGAGTTTGGAGGGAAAGCCCTTCAAAATGAATCGCTGTTGTTCAGTAATCTTGTAGTTTAATGTTCATAACTTCTTCCGGTTTGGTTTTTTGTTATAGTCCTGTCTTTCTGCTACGAGAGTGCACAGCAGTGCTATCGGAAGGTCACAGAACAGTGCACTACCTGTGCTGCCCTAGGGCTGTTGATGTCCTCAGCTGTTGTAGGAGAAACGCTAGACCTGGAACCCAGTTTGTTACTGGTAAGAAGTAATTGTCTTGGATTTTTTTTTAAATATTAAAGTTTGCATGCTTTCTTGAACAAAACCAGTAAAAAAAAATCTCTTTACTGCTTATTACTTGAAAAACACTATAGCAAAATGTGCATCTGGGGTCTTTTTTTTTTTTTTTACCTCCCCCAGCCTATTTAACTTTACAGTTTCTAAATTTCTAATTCTAATTTCTAATTGCCTGCCTTCCAATATGCGGGGGCTAACAGTTTTCCCTTAGCTCTCATTTTCAGACCTGGTTTTCTCTTGAAATTCTTTACGCGCTGTCAGAGCTATTGCAGGTTAAATGGATTTTTCTAAGATACCTTCAGAAATCCTGTCTTTTGGTCACACTTTTGTGTGCTTCTGCACGCTAGCTGGCCCCGTAACTTCAGCTAGATGGTTTGATAAACCAGCCAAGTTGCTGGTTTAAAGTTTTGGAGTAGAGAATTAAAATATTTGGTGATAGCTCCCTGTTATGTTCTGCCTGTTGGAGTTAGATTTTGCTTATGGTTCGTGTTTGGATTGCAGAAACAAAGCTTTGATGATATGAATGACTAGAACTGTGTAGTGTTTTGCTTGTCATTATTATTTTTGCTGAAATTGGCCTTTTGGGTTCCTAACTGTATTCAGTTCTATGTATTTTCGTGGTAGAAGCAATTGTAAACTGACGTTATGGTCTTAAATATATTGTGTTTCCTGACTAAATCTAACCTGGACCAACAGGGAGTTGGAATCTCTCTGCCTGCCCTGAGAACCAGTGGTTCAAGTGAGTGATTTCTTTGCTGGTGTGTTACAGCTGCTGAAGGTGTAATGCTTGCCCTGCTGCTGCTGTCTGAATTTCACTCATCTTTCTGGATTGTAACTGCTACAGAGATGCTAAATGGAGATGCTGTTTTAATGTTGTCGATCATGGAGTAGTGTTGGCTTGAAACTGGAGAAATTTTAGTGAATCATCATCAAGGCAGATGTTAATTAAACGTTGGTTGGGGCTTGTTTGTTTTTTTTTTTTTCCCCCTACAATCATTGAGAATTGAGTGGCCCTCTCAAAATTGATAATAAAAATATAACTAGTATTTTTAAGTTCACTGGAAAGAATTTGTTGCCCCAATTCTTGCCTTTTCTGTAGTTCTATAATATTTCTCAAGCTGAATGATGAAACTTATTTTCTTCCTGTGATTCCTAACCCGTAAGGATGAACATGCTCAGTTGGGCTGTAATTAAACCCTCTCATCCCCAGCCATAAGGGAAAAGCAGTACACTGTTGTTTTCCTGAAACTGTTGAGTTGTGAGTAACCTCTTTGGCCCAAGGGTCTGGCTTGGTCTGTTTACAAACATCTGCCTGTTTCTCTCTGAATTCAGAGTTGCGGTTGGAATGGCCAACTTAAACAAGGAATGGTTGGTTTTGTGAACTGGAACAGGGTAGAAGAGTTTCTTTTTTGGCAACTGTTCATTTTCATAAACGCTTGCACCTACAAAGCTGAATGTAAGGATATAATTTCTGGGTATTTAGTATCAAGAAATTGAAACTCTTCTAGAATCGTGTGCTCTTATTCCTCAAACACACTTAGGAGAAAACACTGTACTTGTGGAGATTTGTGCTTGTAAAGCTCATGAGCAGTGTCTTTGCAGGGACTTACCATCCTTTAATATCCCAAGTTTTCTGCTTTTTCTTTCATTAGGAGAAGTGCAAGTACTGTCCTTTTCAGTTGCTAAGGTTACGTTGGGGTTTTTTTGTTCTCCATTCTTTTCAGCACAGGGCATATGGATAGGAGGAATCCTGTGCATTTCTGTTGTCTTTAATTGGATAAAAGTGAAACTCCTATACACACTATGTCTTGTTGTGCAAGGAGGCGTTTCAAGCCCAATCTCACCTTACAGAGCTCCTTTGCAGAGGAATTTAAAAAATGTTGGAATGTCTTGGGAGTGGAGACATGGACAGGACACAGGGGAAGCAAAGAAGTGGGGTGTGTTTGTTGGTTTTTTGTACAATAAACCATTGGAGTGAATTTGAGTTCTTTCTTAATCTGTTTTTACTTTTCTCTGAAGGGAGAGGGGGGAGGAAACAACACATTTTTGGTTAAATTCCAGTTGGCATGTTTTCTCTAGGGATCATAGAGTGACTGGTGGAGGAGTGCACTAGTGAATATTTTGGTACTCTAACTTGTGTCCTCAGTATTGAGAGTGTAGAAACATGTTTCAAACATTGTAAGAGACTAAATGTCATGTAGTTTAAATTTTTGATTTGCTTATATTCTGAGAGAGAAAAAAGTAAACAAACAGAAAATTCTACCAACAGCAAAAACCCCTACCAACATCAAAAACGTGAAAAACCCCTCTAGTCTCTTTTTTTTTTTTTTTTTTTTTTTTTTTTTTTTTTTCCCTTTTCTTTCCTGTTTTCTTTCTGAGTGAAGAGAGTTTATTTTTGTCCCCACTATTTCCCAGGAGAGTGGAGTGTGGAGGCTTTCATGTGTGTACTCCATTCCTTGTCTGTGGCTTTTTGTTTAAATTCAAATAATGCGCTGACTTTCAGATGCAACAAATTTGTACCCCTTAATTTTCCTGGTGTAAAAATTTTGGTCGAGAGACTTATTATGGGTGCATATGCTGAGAGGTTGGCTTTGTAGGTATTGCTAGTTACTCTTCTTAAAACCTTCCCAAGAGTAGGTGAAGATTGTGTTTATTTAGACTCTTGTTGTGTCATCAGGGGATATTTTTCATGTTCAAATAACTGTACTGATAGTGCAAAATAAACAGTTTTCATAGATGCTATATTTGTAGAACTAGGTTCATTCTAGCTAGGGTTAAAGATTATATAAATTATTAATGCTTACTTTGAGACCAGGTTTTTGACAGCATGAAAAACAAAAAGCTGGCCTGTATCTTGACAGAAGTTTTCATGAAAGTGATTATTAAATCTGCTCATGTTTGGTGGTTCTTGCTGTTACATGCAAGTGTTGTTTGTTTAGGGACAGGGTTTTTTTAGCTACCTTTTGGAAAGTAATAGACTTGAATTACTGTGTTGTCTGCAAATTGACTTATGAAGAAAACCTGATCTCTTACAATTTATTTTGTGGAAAGTCTACAGATGAGCTTTCATGGTTCATTGGCTTCTTGGAAAGCTGTGTTGTAGCCGTGTGCTGTCATCGCAGGCACAGGCCTAAAGGATTTTAGTAGGTGCTCAACTTTGAAATCCTTCAATGTACTAAAAAGACCTGAGATAAAACAAAAAAAAAATGTATCATTGATCTTTGAGTTCTCTTTCTAGAAAATCTCCAGTTTATTCCATCTTTACGGTGCTTCCACTAGAAGTTTGAAGGGCACTGCTTTTCTGAAGAAATCTTTTAACAACATCTTTTAAGTGGAGATAAATATCATTACCAGGAAAACGGGGTTGGGAGGGGGGGGAAGCAAAGCAACAACAAGTCACAAAACAGCATGTAAAATTGGAACACAAGAGCACAGGGTTTTGAAGCTTCCTGAATTTTTAACTACTAGCAAATTGCCTTAAATTTAACTTGGATTAATTCCCTAGTGATCCTTGACATTAAACGGATGTTCTGGTTTGACATGGGTAGACAGAAAACTAATTAATTCCTCTGAATTTGAGGCATATTTAATTTTCTCCCCCAAAGACCTCTCATTTAAAAGGTACAATGCTGTGACAAATGTTGAATGTGGAACGATGTGTATAAGGTAACAGACCTTTAGACAGAGGAAGATCAAGATATCTACAGTAATAATTGCTGGTTTGGAAGATGTTGAATTTTATTGATTAGACTGAACCTGGGAGTACCCATGTTGTTGCCTGCGTACTTGAAAGAGCTGTAATGTGCTCACCTGCCAGCGGGAAGGATGCTGCTCTTTGGGTGTCCTCCCCATTCATCTCTCTATCTCTTTAAAGTACTTTGGACCAAGGACAAGTTGTCTTTGCTTTGCGTAGAAGAATGTATATTGTCATTATTTTTACTTGTTTTCTTACACTCATCATATTTTAGAATGTCAGGTGTTTTGCTTTCTTGTGCAAAAGGTATCTACCCACCCTCTGCCTCTTGTCCCCAGTGTCCTTGGAAACGTGGGCAAGGAAGACACAAGGACTGTATGATCTTACTGTAACGACACGCTTTTGTTCATCCATGGCTTGCCTGGAGGGTGTCTTCTGTCAAGAGCTTGGTGGGTGGGAGGGAGGCCAGTACAGAATCTTGCATAGATTTTTGTGTACATCTGTGTTTAGTAAAAAAAAAAATAAAATCCGTTGATAGGAAACAAAGTCAGAGAAAAGCTATTTCCTAAAGAGGCTTCATCTGTAAAAAGCACCAGATTAGTCAACGCCTGAACCTCAGACTGGTCCAGTCTAAACCGAAGGTAGCAAGAGACAAATATTTTCATCTGGGTTTTTGCCACAGGCAGCTCAAACCGAGGACAAGGTCTGTCTAAAATAGACTGTTCTCAACAGAGAGGGGGAACCCAACCCACTGCACTAAGCTGGATAAATAGATGAAATAGTAAAGAAAATCACAAGGAATTGGTATAATTCCCAGGTGAAAAACATTCAAGAAGAAAAGCTGTTTGTTGTTGTATAAATTCACAAAAGCAGGTGAAGACATTGACAAATACTCCTGATGCTAATCTGTATTAAATTGAGGAAATTATCCTTGCAGGAGATTTTTTTTTTTTTTCTTTCTTCTTTCCCCCAACCAGTTTCAGAGGGTTGATGTCTTTAGAATATGGATTTTGATACCTGTGATACCTTACCAAAAGGAAATGCCATATCTGAAACCTTGTGATGGCTTCGTAATTGTGTGCTGTGAGGTTTTCTTGCGTCTTCCTGTGAATCATGTGGATATGGCAGCTTTTGAAGGCAGGATTGGTGATGGACAACTCATTTTATCCTATGTGGCAATTCATATTTCCTGAGGGGACTAAGCTGACTCTTCAGCTCCTAAAAGTAGATGCAGTAGTGGCTTCTGGAATAAAGACAAAACTGAACTGTCATTCTGCCTTAAGAGGTGGCTCTCTCAAACCTGACGATGTTGGGAAGCAGCCACCGACAGAGCCTGGGTTAGAGAGCTGCTGTGCTGGCTGGTGCCATCACAACCTTTTCAGGCCAAACACCTGAAAAATCGATTTATTGTCCCCCCCTTAGTCCCTGCCTCTAATTTTAATTTATTTATTTCATTTATTTGAAAAGGAAATGGCTTCAGTGTGAGAATTTGATTTGAGGTCTCTGGGCGGGTTTCAATGGTAAATAGGTAGTGTCGTTCGGATAGCGCAGAGCTACACTATTATTGATCTCTTCCAGTTCAAATTAAAAAAAAAAAAAAGCTGCTTTGTGCGCTCTGTCTTTAATTCTGTAGAAAAGCTGTATGGATTTGAAATAGATGAACACCAGTTCAGCCTATTTGTGTTGCAGGAGGATGGTCTTTCCTCTCTCGAGGGAAGCAAATGCTTCTCAATGATCAGGGACCAGCTGGTCTTGCAAATTAGCATTTCTGACACTGCTGAAGAGACAGTGTCAGCTCCATTCTTGCGGAACTGGAGAAGCTTGTGCAGGCAATCTTGCATAACTTGAACTTCTGAATCATCAGGTGGCTCTCTAGAAGAAAGGTCCCGTGTCACGTATGTTCTGTGGGCTGAGAGGTGGTTTTCTAGCCAATGGTGTTGGCTAAACTGTCGCTATTTTGCTCCCATAAATGATAATAATAGCACAGACTAGGGGAAGGGGGCAAAGGTCTTATGGATCTGTATTCCGCAGTACAGGAAACTTTCTTAATCATGGCTGTCCTAGGATTGCCCACTGCTGTGAGCCCGTTTGAACAGATGGGACTGAGTTAGTGTTTGAACTCGATGTATGTTAGAAGGTTGCTTTAAGCTCTCATCAGCCTCCTTACTGACAGTGCTTATATTTAACCATCTACGTTTCAAGACTGTAAGACCTCAGAAGTACAGTGATTTTTGGTTTTATCAGCAACCACCAGTAGCCTGAATCCAGGCTTCTGAGGCGTGCGCCGGCCTGTAATTACATTTGAAATTTAGTCTTGTCAGCCGGTACCAGTTTTACAGTTGTATGTTAACATGTAGACCCACATACCAATTTTACAGTTGGAACTTCTTATATTGGAACAAATTTAAGTTTTTTGAGAGAAAGGAGTAGATATCCTTCATGTTGTGTGACATCTTGGTGCTCTTAATCAGCTGGACCATTAAACCACTGTTACACAGTATATAAATCTTGATCGCAGGTTCCAAATAAGTGGTGTAAGCCAGATGAAATGGCAGAGATGGATGCCAAGGGATTTGTAAGGCTGTGGCAGCAAAGGCAAGTACGGAGCTGCCAGGGCAGTAGCTGCTGAGGTTTGGTGTCGCAGAGAGTGCTTCATCAGTCTGTTCTGATGCTGCCAGTGTCCATCCTTAACACCTTGAGAGTCGTGAACTTGAAGTCCTCTCGCTTGAGAGACAGAATGTGTGGTTACGTGTGACCTTGGGAGGTGAAGGGCAGGGAGTTTTGGATGATGCTGGCCAGACCACAGAGCTGCGTGGCTATGAGAAATGTATGTATGCGCTCCTCCACATTGATGTGTTGCTCCTCTCGTGTTTGTACTTTGCAGGTGGGATAAAATTCAGTCTAAAAATATTAGTGCCACTGATTACTGTCAACATACCCACATTTAAGACCTTTTTTTCTCTTTTGGGGTGTAAGAGGAGGATAATTTGGAGCATAACTTACAAGATACGCGTCTCTGCCATGCTGCTGGCACTGACTAGCCTTTTTTTGGATAATACTGTCAAATTTCATGAAAGGTGATCAGAAGTCCTGTGAATTCTCCTCAGCTTGATGGATGCTTTGTTATTGGGGTCATAAGCATCCTTTCTAAAATGTGAATGTTTAGGTGGTTATTAGAATTTCTCCATCCAAGATTTTAGGGTGGTTGTGGGGTAGACTCGGAGATATAAAGCCAAGGAAATAACATGTTTTATTGCAAAATTAAAAATCTTGTGCTTCTAAGTAGTTAAGCTTCAAATAAGGTTAATTTCATAGGTCTGATCTATTGCCAGTTTAGTTCGGGTGGGGACTTAAAATTTTGTGATCTGTGGTCTTGGATTTGCCTATTGCTCTTCTGACTTGAAAACAGTATTTATAGCCCCTCAACCGCAATATAGCAAGGGAAATAGCTGGTTTCAATTGGCTTTCGCTGTTTGAGGATTTCAGCTATTCAGTGTGCTGCACATAATGCTTGTTCCCTTGAGGAAATTGTGTTACAGAGTGCTCTTCAGTAGTTTGTCTTCATCAGTGTGGTTTTAAGTGTAGTTACCTCTTTCAAAACCAAACTTCGCTGAACCCAAATGGTAAAAACTGACAGCTGTTTTACCCCAGTAACTTAAGACAGGTTTTCTTACAAGTCTGTAGTAATTTAAGGAAATGTTTCTCTGGGATGTTAGGAGCCACTGGAGGATTGAGCTTCAAATCTAGTCCCTTTTAACTTAAATTATTTGAAGTCTGGTAAAAATAAGCTGCATCCTGTAATGAATGTGCAGTCTTTCTAGGCAGCAGTGGCATTCTTTCAACATGAACCTGTTACTTCATTTGGTATAACTTGGGGTTTGTCTCAGTCTTTGAAAAAGCACATCTGTAAGCTTGTATTGGATTTCGTAATCCTGTCATTTCCTTCCCCATACAGGACTTGTGGAAGAGGAAACACAAAGATTTCCAAATGAATAACCGAAAGGAAGATATGGAGATTGCTTCCCACTACCGTCATCTGCTGCGTGAGCTTAACGAGCAGAGACAACACGGCATCCTCTGTGACGTTTGCATTATAGTGGAGGGGAAGATATTTAAGGCTCACAAAAACGTTCTGCTTGGGAGTAGTCGCTACTTCAAAACGCTGTACTGCCAGGTGCAGAAAACCTCCGACCAGGCCACAGTCACCCACTTGGACATTGTAACCGCGCAAGGTTTTAAAGCAATCATAGACTTCATGTACTCTGCACACCTCGCCCTGACCAGCAGGAACGTCATTGAGGTGATGTCGGCTGCTAGCTACCTGCAGATGACAGATATTGTACAAGCCTGTCACAATTTCATCAAAGCAGCTCTCGACATAAGCATAAAGTCGGATGCCTCAGATGACCTTGTCGATTATGAGCTCGGAGCCCCTTCCAGCAGCAGTACGGATGCTTTGATTTCAGCAGTGGTGGCTGGCAGGAGTATATCTCCCTGGCTAGCTCGGCGAACAAGTCCAGCAAACTCTTCTGGAGATTCCGCTATTGCCAGCTGCCACGAGGGAGGGAGTAGTTACGGAAAAGAGGATCAAGAACCAAAAACAGACAGCCACGAAGACGTTTCATCCCAGTCTCTTTGGTCTAGTGACATGGGCTATGGGTCTTTACGTATCAAAGAGGAGCAGGTTTCCCCGTCACATTATGGAGGGGGCGAACTACCTTCTGCCAAGGATAGTGCAATACAGAACGCGTTCTCTGACCAAGGAGTAGGGGATGGCTGGCAACCCACTGGGCGCAGGAAGAACAGAAAAAATAAAGAAACTGTGCGGCATATTACGCAGCAGGTGGAGGATGACAGCAGGGCAAGTTCTCCCATGCCATCTTTTTTACCTGCCTCAGGATGGCCGTACAGCAGTCGAGACCCAAGTAAGTCTTTCTGATTTTTCATGGCTGACATTGAAAATGTTGAGTTAATTAGAGCTGTTTACGGTATGATCTTATCAGTCTTTGAAATGTATTAGCTTGCCAGAAACTGAAAAATGTCAAATACTGTGTTGCCAGCAATTCAAAAGAACCAAGCACTGCATGGTTCAGTCAGGAACTTCAGCACCGCAGGCTGGTTCTCCTGTGAAAGAAGTTGGTAGTTTTCTTTTGGCCTTGAACCGCCAAAACACCATTGTAATTGTTGGAATTTGTGAGAGGAAAGGTTGGAATTTATTTTAGCAGGTGTGCAAGCTGATGTCAAGGTTGAAGAATTTTCCTTGCATGGTAGATTGATGGGGTAATTACACCACACACAGGTGTAATTCAGTGTTAACAATGCTATCTTCAGTAATTCCTGATATTCAGGTGTCACTTTCTCATGTGTGAGAAAACCACCATAGCTTGTTGCTGGTAATGGCAAGATAAGTGTTTGGTAACTGTTAAGAATAACGTGGAGTTTTGAGGTGTTACTAAGGCTTAAACTGTGTTTTGATGTGTGACTACCTGTAGTCTGAGATGAGTGGCTGCTTTGAAAGTCAGAGAGAAAAATGGCTTCTTCTGAATCTTCAGTAGTTACTTTTCTGTCTCAAGATAACTGTTCAATTTGGTTCATTAATCACTGGCAGTTAATAGATTCAGGAGTCCTGTTGATACGGGAGTTTGGGTGTTTTTTCCCCCTAAGGCCTTTAAGGGAGGGTGGTATTAAACTCCCTGAAGCTGACTCGAAGAACTCTGTGCTGTGAGTTAGCCTGTGTTTCACTGCATACCAGAATCCAAGTCAGCCAGGAGAAGGGTGTGTGAGATTATATACCCTTATGTTGCCAAATTCAGATGAAAAAAGCAGTATAAATAGTACTGGAAGTCTGAAGAGTCTTTATGGGCTGAAAAAGGACATTTAAGTTGCTTACATACCAAAGTTTAAATGTGGTTTTCATTGAACGGGTAACCTCTACAAATGTCTGTAGATTTATTATGTTTTACATTATCTGCTGCAGCAGGCTTGCATGTAATTATTGTAATTGGCTGATGATAAAATCTAAACAACATGGGTTAGAAGAAAAATGCAAGATAACAGTGATTTATGATGAATCCTGGTTTTACAGTGCATATATTTTTATATTGTGTTGAATGAAGATTCAGCAGGGATTGCCTGGTATGCTGTTCACACGCAAATATTTTTCACTTTCATGGCATCCCATAAAAACAACTCAATCCCTTGTACTGCCCGTGAGGTGTGTGTGGGGTCAGATGGGTATATGACATAAAACCACACGTGTTGGAGAGACTGCGGAAACAGTACTGCAGCTCTGATCATCTTGGCAAATGGGTTATAAATTGAATGTTTTTACTGAAAACGGTGCAAAATGTACGAGATTGACATAAGGCCGAGGGGTCTGGTGGAGTTGAGAACAGTCAGGGTGAGGTTAATGGTTGGACTGGAGGATCTTCAAGGGCTTTTCCAACCGAGATGATTCTGTGAGATTGTATTACTGGAAGCTGAACGAAGTTTAGATCATTTAATTCCCAATTGTTAAGAAATTAAGTAGAAGTGGCCTTTTCTTTGACAGCTGTTTGCAGATGAGAGGAAGATGGCTTTGGGTGTTGACTCAGCACAGTGCTGAGACAGTGCAGCAGCAGGCACAGTCAAATTATTTGTTCCAAAACTTGTCTTAAATGCGCTTTCCAATAAAAGGGGTGTTTCTAATGATGGGAAAGGGGAAGCTGAATGGTGGTGGTTGGGAGAATAGTTTCAGTATCCACTAGTACTGGTAAAGCAAAAGGAAAAACTGAAGGGCAACCCTTCTCCCTGTCCCAAACCAGAGGGATGTCAGAACCAGCCAGGCCCGGGGGCTGCGTGTGCTGGCAGCGGGCAGCCAGTCTGCAAAGTAAAAGCAACCGTGCTGGGCAGGGGGGATGTTGGGACACTGAGCTGCTCACGGTTTCCCCACGTTGGCCATCTGGAGAGGTGAGCTGGCATGAAATATTCCGTTCTGCCCAGCTGAAAAGGGATGTTTCTGTGCGCTGTGGGATGGGTGTGTATCTACATGCCAAGGGAAAGCACACAGGAGGAACCCTGCGTGCATTTTAGGTTGAATTTTCTTGTCTTTTGGGGGACTTTTTGGGTATGAATTCAGAGGGTTTCAGATCTGTGTGTGTTCATTTTCATCCAACACTTGGCCATCTGGTCAGCAGCAAGCCTCTCGCCTGCTTCTGTCCGTAGATGTGTGGTTTGGGTGAGATCAGAACTGGTGAGGTTGCTTCTCTTTCAGCATGCAGTGAAGGCACCTCTGCTCCCATCTCTGTCCTGGTCCCTACAAGCAGGAGGGTCTTTTGGGCTCGCATTAATATTTCCCATCTCCAGCAGGTGGAAGCAACCCTCTTGTGAACTGCTCCATCTCCTGGGTTGCCAAGCTACAGGGTTCTGCTTAGGTTCATTATTGGGACCCCAGGTTCTTTGTTTTTCTGCTAGAATTCAGAAGTAGTTGAGGGGTGTTGCAAACTTAAGTCCTGCGCATGAAGAAAAAATTACTCTCTTGTGTGAAAGCAGGTAATGGCAAGCGTCTGCACCGTGTAATGAGTATTTAGGATGTATTTAAATTTCAGCTTGAAGTTGTCTTTGATTTAGTAGCGTCAGGTTTCATTCTTTAAAACAGACTTCATAGTCTAGAGCTCTTTTTTTTTTTTTTTTTTAACTTCATTTATTTAGAAGTGTCCCTATCTGTATTGTTCATGTCTAAGATGAAAAGGTACTCCTTTGCTGAGGAAATGGGTGTTGAATGTTCTTTCATAAGTAGCTAAGAGGAAAAAAGTTACCTAGAACTCTTTGTTCTTTGAGGCTCCTTCACTTTTCTGATCTATTCAGTTATTTTAAGATGCTCGTTGTTCAGTCTGAAAGCCCTCACCGTGGGATAATTCGGGTACCATTTGCAAATGCTTCTATACTGGAGGACTAACGCAGGCTTTCTGGCGATGCAAAAACTGAGGTAGGCGAGAGAAGCCATCTTAAAAGCTCAGTGTTGGTGTCTTCCTTCTGAAATTGTTCACTGCGTTTCAGCACAATGCAATCAGTGTTTTGGAAGGTGGATCTTGCAAGTAACCATTCCATCACCCTTTTAATTCAGTGGTTATTTGGGGCAGTATACCTCACAGATTAAACTACTTTCCTACTGCTAGCTAAGGATTACTTAATTGATGTTATGTTGCAGAGAAACTCAAAGAAACTTTGCCTTTTGAAACGACTAACAGCTGGTTTGCAGTGGTGCTTCTCTCAGTGGGAAAGAGATGTCCTTATCAATATAGGCAGGGTGTGTTAAATAAGAGTCCCAAATACATAAGTAGACTGTGCTTAAATATGATGCAGTGGGGTCTCAAAGACACTGATTTTTTTTTTTTTTTAATTGAAAGGATAAGAAAATTCTCTCTGTATCAGTTGATTAATTTCCAGATGTTGGTGGGGTCCTGCTGAGAGGCTTTGAATTTGATCACACCATGGATGAAAATAAAAGGGAGTGTCTGGAGTAGTCTTATTAATGGTAATCTAACATCATGGAAATAGCCGCTGAAGCAAGAGATTGTTCACGTTTCCCATAGAGAATATATCTTCTTCATCCAAGAAAGAATGATGAAACAGGATTTTCAAAAGAATCCAAACTAAGTCGAGATGCTAGATTAAGAGGGTGATTAAGCTTTCTGTTCCTACAGGGTGGTAGCAGTCACGCACAAAGATTGATGAACACCATCTTTTCATGCTAGTTCCAATTTGTTAATTTGGATTCACTGTTTAGCATAAAACACGTTAGGTTTTTCCTTTCTCATCCTGTTTGGGTTGTTCAGGATGTCAGTCTGTCCTTCCTTGTATGAAACATTCATATATATGTTTTCCTCACCGAGCCGCGTTAACTTGGAACAGCAGTTCTCCAAAGTAAACTGAAGGATGGGCTTTTATAAATAATAACTTTCTTCATAACTGAGCCAAGAAGAATTTCCTCCACAGACCTGCCAAAATAACAGGTCTGTCTTTTATTTTAACCTTTTTCCTTGAATTCTGTAAGTTTTCTAAAGAAACACACTGCTATTTGTTAGTCTTTAATATCAAAGATGCTTACAAAATTCAGAAGTAGTCTTGTGCCTTGAGCATCTTCATTTTCTTTAGGTTGCTGTTGCTTTAACACTGCTGGTTAAAGTTTTTACAGGATTACACATCCTGAGTGCATGGACTACAGGATCAGGTGGTATTTAAAAGGCTCTCGCTGAAGAGGATAGTTATATTCACCAGAAGAGCTGTTAAGCTAGCAAAATGTTGCTGGTTTTGCCTCTTCATATAATGGAAAACTCTGTCATTTGGAGGGTGTCTTTTGAAGAATTTATTGATGGTTCTATTAATGTGTTAGCTCAAGCATAGTAGTTATGATTCAGGAATTTATTTCGAAGGAAGTACTCCCACACATCTTCTGAGTGTTTGCACCCTAAAGCTGCAAGTGAATTTTTGTGTGCCAATTGACTGTGAAATGAAGCTAATTATTTTCAAAACAGAACAGTCATTTTTAGAGATGCTACAGTTTGAGAACTTTCTGCTTTACTTTGATTACAAATAGTGAAATTGTTGTATTCTGTAAGAGCTTCAGGACTTAAGTAAGCCCGGAATAGTGACCTTCCTGAGGAGGATGGACAGGGCTTCCCTGTATCCTTCTGACTTTGTAGAGTTCTGAGTTCCTTTAATATTTTCCCATCAAAATCTTTAATTATGCACAAGCTTCCTCCCTTGTGGTGAGGAGACATTTCAGTTCATCATTTTCCAATGACACAAGCTGATTTCAGTGCCTGCTGCAGGGAGTTGTGCTACTGGCTCTCCGTGAAGACTGGAGGCAGCTGGTGTCGGAAGCCTTTTCCTATCCCTTTTTCTGTCTTTGTTTCTAGGGAGCAAATTATGATTACAGGAGTTG